TCTTAAACAAGATATCCACAACCTATTATTTAACTCTGAAACCTTTTAAGAATAAAATAGGATTATCAGAAAATGACTTAAATTTTAAGAACAACACAGTAAATAAAGTTAAAATTTTAAACAAAGGAAACTGGATATATTAATATTTATTTTTTCCTGGAAAAATTTCTTACAGATATTATTCCCTTTTGTAGTTCAAAAAATGGAAGATTAATATGGCCACCTAGAGGAGAAAACATGATAACAAATACGTCATCACATTCTTACTTTTTCTAGAATATCAGTTTATGTTTTAAAGAACGCAACTGAAGAGGTTAATAACGTATGAAAGAGACTTTGGTTGGATACTAAAGTAGCAGGAATGACCTAAAAGAAGCTAAAACAACATTCATTTTGCAGTGGGCCTGATAAGCATAGTTTTTGTAACTTACCATGTGACCTTAGGTTAAAAATTACTTAATCTGAAATCTTTTCTCACTTCTGTAAAATGGAGATAATCTATCAACCACAATGATTTGCAGTGAAAATTAAACAGTATGGTGTTCACAGAAATTAACAGTCAGGTATATAGTAGGAGCTCAACATGGTGGTTCTTAACTACCTGCTCAGAAAATTCTGCACTGTTCTCTCTTAGTTCTACCTAGGCCCTCCTTGACCCTCTTTAATCTTACAGATACTTCCAGTATTGGCCGTTCCAAAGCTTCTCTATGAGAATTAGTCAGTGTTGAGAAATGAACTAATGGCTTCTTACCACCACTAATGAGGGAAGAGTATGTCATGTACATTTAAATATATTTCCTTCTACCCTGGAATTCCCTGTAGTTGCCTCAACCTACACATCAGTTAACTTTGGTCCTTATAAACTCCCAGAATACTCTGCAGAATGAAAGATCAGAGCAATAAAGGAAAGCATTCATCCCTTAAATCCTACCAGGAGAACTATACTCAGCAATCCACTTAGGTGACCTGCCTTACTAGCCTTCTGCTGAGTTAGCTACACAGACGAACAACGACCTGGTGGAGACTCAAACGTGTATCTGAATCAAATCCCTCTCCTTCTCAAATATATGCCAGAGGAGGGTTTCCACGGTTGGGTTGGAGGGAGAAGGTGAATGCTGTGATTACAATCCCCTTCAACTACCTCTCTTCCTCGATTCCACAAGTTGAAAAGGAGAGAGTAGGTGTAAGAAAGTGCAGGCAGCAAGTGTAAACTTTCTGACCAGTTATTCTCTCCTTAACAAGATTCAATCCAAGTTAACTATTCTAAGCAACTAAAACTTTAATTGAACGTTATTGATCACTTGATATTAGACAAAGCAGCTTGTATGAATTCTTATCCTTCTCAGTCTATGTGCAGCATTCAAAACTCTCCAGACAACATTCTCCTGATTCTCCATTTTATTGCCTTTACTTTCTATTCTCTATTTAAGTGCCATCCTTAATTCTCCTGTTAATGAAAGGAAATGATTCTCTGATCTTTTCTTACCATATATTCTCCCTCAACAATTAAATCTATTTCCATGATTTCTATATTCTTAGTATGTATCATCTGAAAACATCTCTCTTTTTCTCCCTAACCTCATTCCTGATTTCAAGCTCCATGGTCATTTCCAATAGCTTAAATATCCTTGCTTCATCACACACACACACACACACATGCACGCACACACACACGTATAACCATATGTATAAAACCTCTTCTTTGTCCCACTTTTAATTATTAATGACTTCATCATTCTCCTAGTCACAATGGCAGCAATCAGTGTCATCTTTGTTCCAAATACATTCAGCTCCTAAATCTGATCAATTCTACCTCTAAGTCTCTCCTGTCCTCTTGTATTTCTAGGACCACTATTGTAATTTGGATTTTTACCATTTTCCACATAGACTACTACAAAAACCTCCAAAATTGGTGTCTTTTTCTAGTCTTCCTGCTGCTAATCTAAGGCACATCCCGTTTCATTGTTCTTTGATGAAAAACTTTCAGTGAGTTCTCAGTGGCTAACAAATTAAATCCTAACTTTAGTCTGGGAAGCACTCCAGGCTTTAGATTTCTACTTTCCTTCCATTTTGTCTCCTACTCCTATCTATCTATCTATCTATCTATCCATCCATCCATCCATCCATCCATCCATGTTGGAGCCAAGTGGACTTTACTCTGTACTTTGGGGTTTATGAAGTTCCCCCTTTCTAAAATACCTCTAAAATACCTCATCTTTTCACCACCTTTACACCCATTCTTCAAAGTTAAACCCAAATGCCATTTTATCTAAAGCACTCTCATACCTTCCCCAATAGATATTTTACTCCCGTCCTTAAAACTTTTTAGAATTTTCTATGTACTTCTGCATCTTTGTGTGGGGGCATGTTCAGAATTTACTATCACTTAAAATTGTTTTTACCTAAGATCTTGACCTCTGAAATCTCTCTCTTCAATCAAATTTCCTTTCTTCCCCTACTCCACTGAATCTACTTTGGGCTCAAAGCGATTTTTGACTTTTTAATAAGTAATAATCTATAATACAAAGCTATTCCCCTGGTCTACTGCTTTCTTACATTATCACTTGGTCATCTCTCCATCCGAAATCCCCACGACAGCATTTTAACAATAAGGCTATCCATCTCCACTGGGATACTCCAGGCACTTCAGATTCAGCATGATGGAAACTAAATTACCTCCTCCCACACAAACTTACTTCTCTAATGCTCTCTAAACTAATTTAAAACTCTTGGTTCTTCACTCACTGCACATATTCAATCATTCGAGATTTATTGAGACCATCCTTAAATCTATGTACTCTGTCCCCAAACTCAGTGCCAATGAATATCTCATCACTATTTATTTATTTATTTAACGTTTATTTACTTTTGAGAAAGAGAGAGACAAAATGTGAGCGGGAGGAGGCAGAGAGAGAGAGGGAGACACAGAATCTGAAGCAAGTTCCAGGCTCTGAGCTGTCAGCACAGAGCCCAACACGGGGCTTGAACTCATGGACTGTGAGATCCTCAATGAAATGAGAAGGTGACCCCAGGACATTTGCATCAGTTCAGTTCCAGAGGTTAGGGCAAGAAGAGAAGACCCACTGAGGTTAAGCCCTCTCTCCTCACTGCATTCCCCCCAGACTATAGAGCCATGTGAGGATAATGGGACTATGGGACAGAAGCAATCAAAACAGCAGAGAAGTGTAGGGAGTGAGGGGGAAGAAGCAGTGAGGAGGAAATAAAAATCCTAAACTGAAGCTGCAGAAAGGTAAGTGTCCAGGGTCATAGACGATAAATTCAGGGGTCATTCATGACTGCTCACTCTCATCCCCACCACTGCTTCCACTACCCTCAGCTACAGTGACCATTTAGTGCTCACTTACTCACAGGAGCCAGAACTGTGCTAAAAACTACCACACATACCAGCTAATGTTCATGACAACCCTATCAGAAAGGTATTATCCACAGTTTAGAGACCAGGAAACAAACCTAAAAACAATTAACTATACTGCCCAAAGCTTGTAGCTGATATGTTAAGACAGAGAATGTGAACAAAGATCAGGTTCAAATCTCATTCTCTTTCGGCTCTACTATGCACGTGATGGGGTATAAGGGTGTACATATGTTAAGGACTGGCTTTTCTGCTTTGCGTTACTCAGTTATTCTTGTAAGCACATGTTTTGTGTGTGTGTGTTTTTTAAGTTTATTTATTTTGAGAGAGAAAGAGAAAGAACAGGGGATGGAGGGAGGGACAGAGAGAGAGGGAGAGAGAACCCCAAGCAGGCTCAGTACTGTCACCACAGAGCCCAATGCAGGCTCAATCTCACACACCATGAGGTCATGACCTGGGCTGAAATCAAGAATTGGGTGCTTAACTGACTGAGCCACCCAGGCACCCCATGTAATCACATGTTTTATTTTCTCTAGTACTAGAAATGTATTTTTGAGGGTAGAATCTAATATTTTTATTTCTTTCCTAGTATCTCATAATGAGCTTTCTGTATAGTAATCACTCAGTATTTTATTAATTTTTTATTATAAACCATGTACTAGTAGAAATAAAAAGAAAGAATATCAATCATTAGTTAGCATCAAACCAAATTTAAAAAAAAAAGATGCTTTAGCTCCTCTGACAACTCTATGTGCTGAGTAATAGGCTCTTAAACAAAAAGCACAGCTATAAAATTAAGGACAGTTTGTGTCTGGTATAATAAAAATGCTGTCTAAGATATACTGCTCTTTTCTTCATATCTGCATATAAAGATAATAATTTCTAGGAATAGTCATACATTGTATCAAGCAGGCGAGCAACCTACCTAGAAGGTGAAAATAAATATGCTTCAATTCATGGCAAGACCTCTTTTATTTCCCTTATAGAAAGATGTAAAAACATGTTAGAGTGGATGTGTATCTTTTACATAGGTTGAGTTTTAAGCCAGTATCAGTACATGAGGCAAAAATCAAATAGAGACAAAATAATCTTCAAAAATTCTTTAAGGTGCCCTTAAAGCAAAGAATAACACAGTATCAGCTCTCAATAAATCCGCCTCGGATACCTTTTCCCCCACACAGAACAGATCATCACTTCTGGTGTGAGCCACAAGAAGTATGTGGCTCCTGTTTAGGGCCATACTGAGTGAAAGACAGTACATTTACACACCAGTATCATGTCCAACACGACGAGATACTTGAGACTCTGTAAGTTCCTCTCACAGATATCTGGGGACAGATTCCCCATGAGAGAACAACGGATTCACATCTTCTACCTCGCTTGCATCAGGGAAAGAGAGAACAGAATTACTATGGTCTTTAAATTACTTGGCGTTTTGCTTTTAGGTGTTTTGTGTTTTGGCTTCAGTCTAAAGATCTGAATTTCAATAAATTATATTCACGGAAACGTGACTCTGTGAGCCATCTCTTGTTTATGGTGCAGCCACAGATGCCTAGAATTTTAGGCACAATTAATCTAATACCACAGTGTGTGATCTAAAAAAAATAAAGGAAGCAACCTATCTTACCTTCATCTATCGATGCTTCACTACTGTAGCCGTCATATTCTGCAGACAGAGGGCTGTATTTCTGTCTTGTTTCCCAAGCATAGTTCTTTTGTCTCGAATCTGCCAAAGGAAGTCTGGAATTGTGTGTTCTGGACAATGCCTCATGATATTTACCCAGTGCTTCATCTTCACTTTCAGAGGATGAACCATGCTCATCTTTGTCCATGTAGGAATTATCTGTTCGGAATGACAGGGAGAGCAAATCAAAAATTTAATACAATATATTACTATGAATTTGATCTATACATGTACATACACACACATATATGCACAGATACATGTCACATATATCCAGACATACACGAATATACATATACATACACAATCTGAATTTTCAGCTTTAGAGAAGTATAGCTTTTTCATTTAAGAAGCCCGAAGGTTTAGGTTTTCATGTTTTTACTAGAAAAAGATCAACCTGTATATTCTAATTATAAAAAATGTTGCCGGAATTTTCCAACCATGTTACAGATAAAGGAAATAACAGAGCTTGCCACCTTACACAATTTGTTTTACAGGATCAGCAGCACACCAAGAAACTTAGAAGTACTGCCAGTACATATGGACCTGATTCAAATAATTCATGTCACAAGAGACATTCTGGTTATCATCTTGGTCCAAATTTTCAAGAATGATAATGCTCAGTGCTAGGAGTAGAACAGAGAAATGGGCAGGTGTATACTATTGGTAAAATTATCATTGGTACTATGCTCCCAGAGAGACATCTGGCAATACATATTGAACTTTTAAATCTGCACAGTCTTTGATTCATTTCTAGGAATTTATCAATTCTATTTTTAGGAACTCAGCCTAAGAAAATACTTAACAGGTGAGCAGAGATATATGTTTCAGACAACACACTGCATTCTGTCTAACAGCAACAGAAAACAAAAATAACACATAATCTAAATGTCCATGCCTGGGCCTTGGTTAAGTATATTATGATAAATCTATGCAATGATATACTATGCAGTCACTACAAATTACGAGGTGAACTTATAAGTACTCACAGGGAAGAATAAATATATCATGTTAAGAAAAAAGAGGTTATAAAACAGAAGGCACACCTATGTCTCACTTAAAACACACACACACACACACACACAACACACACACACACCCCTACATGCAATATATACACATACATACATGCAGTGTATGTTAATATGCACAAATAAAAATGTGTGGAAGGTTATACACTGATTTTCTGCAAAAGGTAGAATTACTAATAAAATTTTACAGTAGTCTAACTAAATTTCAAATACAATTTTCAGTCCACACAAAATTTATATTATTCTTTAAAAAACTAGTTATTACCATTTTTTAAAGTAAAAACTTTGAAACTGCACTATGTTGGGGTTCATTTAAACTAAGATGCAACCTTCTTAGAATTATAAAACAACTCTGAAAAGACAGAGACCACAGCAGCTAGAAACGATTAAGTCAGTCTAGGTATTTTTCTCTTTATACTCCATTCAGATCATCTGTAGTAAAGGCACCAAGGTTTGAAATTCAAGTGGGGAGACACAGAATAAGTAGTTTAAAATACGGTAGAGAAATGGTATGTTCAGAGATAGAAGTAAGAGAGCTTCGATGTCACCAAGTTCTTTTCAGTTAAGAGAAAGCCGTTATTGGGTAAAGGTATAGCAATGTCATATTCTGCACTGTCCAAAATGGAGTCACTAGCCACATGCAGCTATTTTATTTAAAATAATACCATTTAAAACCTGGTTTCCCAGTGCCAAGGCCACATTTCAAGTGCTCAGTAGCCACGTTGTGGCTAGTGGTTACTACATGGACTATATGGAACTTTTCCATCATTGTAGAAAATGCTATTAGATGGTACTGAGGTGATGGCAGATCTGGACTAGAACCCAGGAATTCTGACTCCCAGTTCAGAGCTTTTAGTGCTTTGTGGGATTGTGGGATACCAGGGCAGTGGTCTCTAAGGCAGCATTATGTTTGATGTCCTGCAGGAGAACCCAAAGCCTTACTCATTTCTACTGCCACTCAGATTTTTGTTATTTTATGAGAATCTAAATTTATTTCTTAAAATGTCAGGTACATGTTTTTTAAGCAAAAGCAATGTATTTTTGGCCTTGTGATCAGATCAGCAGTAAATGGAAATGATGAAGGGATTATCGAAAGTAATAACTAGCAGCACAGAGCAATTCTGCAACCAAACTAAGAAATGTCAGCTCATTGTTTTGAAAACTGTCACAAATATTATGGTTAAAAACTATAAATGCTTAGTTGGAACCTTAATTCTACATAGAGAACTCACGAAAAATATTATTTACATATACTCATTGTGAATACAGAAGTCATATACAATTCTTAATATATGGCTAAATGAATACACATATTCTAAAGCACGTTATTCAATAAAATAAACCCTATTGCTCTAAAGGAAAAATATAAGATACTTGATACAGATTCTTATTGGGAATGACTTGAAGAGCAACATAGTATAAAGGTCTCAGGGGTTAATTACAAAAATATAAAATTTTAAATTCATTAAATAGATTCCAACTAAAGAATGCACATTACTTAAGAAAACTATCGAGTTTCGGTTGTATAATAAAGAAACATTAAGAAAAATTAGGGCCACTGAAGAAGTGGCCAGATACTGAAGGGACGAAGGACAATACTTAACTTAGTGGTGTACAAAGAACATGAATGCTTTCAAAATAAATGATTGCCAGAAAAAAAATGGATGACCTTAAAAGCGTCTCCCGGTAAGAGGGTTGAGGAAAATCTTTTTTTTTTTTTTTTTTTTTAAGTATGTCTTTTGAGAGAGAGAGACACCCAGAAAAAGAGAGAGAATATAAGTGGGAATGGGGCAGAGAAGAGGAGAGAGAGAAAATTCCAAGCAGGCTCACACTGTCAGTTTGGATGGAGCCTGATGCAGGGCTTGAACTCATGAACTATGAGATCATGACCTAGGCCAAAATCCAGAGTCAGACGCTTAACTGACTGAGCCACCCAGGTGCCCCCAGGAACATCTTCAATGAGATTTATAGACATGTAGAGGAAAGTTTGGAAGTTTGGATGATATTTTCTTAATTTAAAAACTCAAGATAAAATTTTATCATTCAAACCCACATTAGGAGACCTCACCTTTTCCTGGTATTATCTTAGAATATTTTTCATCTTTAATCTTTGCTGTTCCTTTGTTGGCAGAAACGGCTTCATTTTTCTTTGTTTTTATGTCTCCTCTCATTTGGTAGCACACTGTTGGATTTATTTGTTCTTTGCGCCTTCCGTGTAACTTATCTTTAGAATTAGCTGATGGTGCTGGATATATGTCTTCTTTCATGATGGGTTTCTGTACTGTATGTCTATTGCTTGCCAAAATATCTTTTGGAGAACACTCATTTCCTGAGCACTCATGCCCTTTGGGTCCTTTACTTTTAATTTGTTTTTCAGTTTTCTTTAAATGATTTTCTTTCATTTCTTGGTATCTTACCTCCTTTAAATCATTCTTACCACCATCAGTAATTCCTAATCCATTTTTTTTATATCTGTCAGAACTTTCAAGTTCTTGACAAGCAGATCCAGCCTTTGCATTCTGTTTAAGAACTGACATCCCTCTCTCGCTCAAGTGACCTTTCAAAGAAGAAGCACCGCCAGCATTATCACTTTCTTGGTAGTTAGATAGAGTCTGTTGCCTATCACTAAGATGTTTAAATATTCTTTCTTCATTCATCCCTTGCTCTTGCTTTTGTGAAACTGAAGTATTATAACAATTGATGTGATTTGCTCTGTGCTCTAAACTAGACTGTGTTTTCTGACAATTAGTGTCTTTGGAGACTTGTGGTGACGTGGCACTTGCTGGGTTAGCAGTATCTACAGCTTCTGCTACGGCAGAGCTGTCTTCTTCTGGACGAAAGCCACTGATCATACTGGTTACCTGTTCGGCAACTGAGTCAGTTAAAGCGTAGCTGACTTCTCCAACAGCAGCGGTCAAATCTTCTACAGCATTACTGATTGTGTCCACCAGAGAAGACACTGAAGGCAGATTCTGCTGAAAATTTTTGAAAAATGCCATTTTCTAATTCCTTATTCCTGACAGATGCAATAATGGAATCTTCTCTTCTCAAAATATCAACCACTTTGGAATTTGAATTTAAAATGTACTTAAATGTTGCTACTCATGAGCTCAATATTATTATTTTGCATTGTGGCATTTACTCTTTCTGTAAATGCATTATGCATTAAAAGAAGTATGTTGAAGCAAAGACTCTTCCAAAAAAAAAAATCAAACCACTTGGCTTAACTGTAATGACATTTTTTCCCACTCCATAGCTATCATAACAGCAGCAAGACAATAATTTCCCCTCAAATACTATTGGTTTTTATTCTATACCTGCAAGAAGAAGTATAAAAAGGGTTTTGATTACGGACTTTTAGTTTATTTATTAACAGTCTATGAAGGGGAACTACCCTGTATTATTAACAAACTACCAGTATCATTTCAAATTAACAAAAATACTAAAAGGAAAAGAGCTAAGTAATTTGCACAGAGGTTAGAATAGAGGAGACAGCAGAGGGCAAACATCTGCTGAGTGGCTACCAGATGCAAGGCATTGTGATTTACAAGTTTTATCTCACCTGATCCCACAATAACTCTAGGAGGTAAATATTATTATTCTTATTTAATAAGTGAAAAAAACAGGTTCTGAAAAATTAAGAAGGTCCCCCAAACCTTCCCAAGGGATCCTCAAGGTAAAAACTATTTTTATAACAATAAAGGGATATTTAACTTTATCACTTTTATTTGCTTACAAATGAACACTGCAGTTTTCCAGAGGCTACATGACAGATTGACTGCAGAAGCAGACATGAGAATAACAGCTGCTTCTTCTAGGCCAGTCATTTAAAGAGATTTGCAAAAAATTATAAAATAATGGCACTCTTCTCACCATTTGGTGGGGTAGAAAATATATAGTTTTTAAAGTTAAAAAATATTACTTATGTTTAACATGTATGTAATAGTTTTATTGATTTTTTAAACAAATAAACTGATAAGAATATTTTTAAATTTCCTCAGTTTTAACTTCTAATATGGTACACATCAATAGATACAAGTCACGTAAACAAAGCGGTTTGGGGTCTTCAATAATCTTTAAGAGTGTTAAGGGGTCATTAGATCAATAAAAACAAAAAACAAAACAAAAAAACACACACACAAAACAAAAACCAGAAATGTTGAATCAGGGAATTCTTGGAGGCTGCCCAAAGGGGTATCTTTAAACCAGTACATTCTATACAAATGATCCAAAAGCAAGATTGAAGTATGAGAAACACTAAACTTAAATCAAAATCACATAAAGTACTATCGTTTCCAAATGCAAAAGTCACAGATTTAATTCCATAACTAATAGATTGTATAAACAATGATGCTATTGCTTTTTAAGCTACAAGAGAAAAACATCTCCCCAACACAGTACCTAGACAAGAAACGCAAGGTTTTTCTGCTAATGCTCCACAACACTGCTCTAAATTAACACCTTGCTTTTAAAATTCTCAACTTGCTTCTGCTATCAGTTAAATATGCCAGTCTTTGGAAACAGCAAATAAAGAACTCTTTCAATAATGTGAAAAAAAAATTAATGCCAAGGAACACTTTTCATGAAAGAAAAAATAAGATTACAGGCCTCATCTCTCCTAATATCTAGCAACAGTAAGTGATATATAGTGATATAATAATTGATAAGTGATAATTGAACATAATGTACTTAATAGATTTTTAACTCACAGAAAAGTGCTCAAATGTTAGTTTACAATGTCAAAACCAACCTTCCCATATATATTTTAAAAAATAAAATAACAGAATGGTAGAGATAAAAAGAACAAACAAGAGAAGAAGTGATGATACTTACAAATTTTATCTTGTGAGTTCTTCCTTGTATTGTATTCTGAACCAAGATCTGGAAACCCGCCAACATTTTCAAAACAGAACTTCTTATTAATATAGAGAAAAAGGAGCAGCATCAAGATAATAAACACCCCAACAGCTGACAAAAATCCAACTGCCTCTGGAGATACTAGAGAAAAAAAAGTCACAGCTGTAAGCATTTATTCTTCTTTAAGCTACTAATAAGAAGGAAACCCCCACACATATGTTAGATTACTGCTTTATTTGAATTATATTTTTTAATTGTCATAGTTCACACAGGTTTGTAAGAAAAAACAAATGGCATACTTTAATGAGCTGTTCAATTCATTCAACAGTCTTTATTCAAACCTAAAAGTTTCTGTATAAATTATGTTGGAACATCCTTAAAATACAGGAGTCTATAAAATAGGCAGCTATATATTTAGTTCATTTAAGAGCATTACAAAAATTTTAACCCAAGAATTAGAAAAAATTATTTCCCATGCATGGGTATATTGCTTAGCCAAATTTATGAGGATATATATTAGTATTATTTCTAAAAACTTCAACGGCCCATTTTGTTTAATAAACTCAAGAATTCTTAACTTGGCATTCAAAGCTCCAGCCACTCTTTTCAATATTATACTCCAATCAAAGTGTTCCACTAATTGCCTCAAAATCAGCTCTATGCATTACCTCACATCTTGTCTTTGTTCATCCTCTTCCCCTTGCCTGGAATGATCAAGTCTCCTTTCTACCATATCCCACTCATTCATTCCAGTCAACAAGTATTTTAGACTAGCAGCCATACACCAGGCATTATCACATACAAAGTTTCTGTCTTCCATGAACAGTTTGGCAAAGGCAATTACAGCACGGTGTAATAAAGACTATGAGTGGGGAAGAACAGGGTCTATGAGACCATAAAAACACTTAAGCCAATGTTGAAGGATCCAGTAGGCTTTTCTGAAAGTTATGGCCTCTATGATTATATTCTAAGACTAATTAAGTTGTTAAGCAAGCTAACAGTATTACAGAGAGAAGAAACAGCAAGTGCAAAGGTCCAGTGACAGGAGAAATTGTATTTTCCAAAAACTCAATGAAGCTTTGTTATAAACCAGATTCTCAAGAGGATCTAATCTCAAAAGAATACACTAAATCATACATGCAAATCGTGTACCACAAGAACAAAAAAAATCTACTTCTCCAACCCTCAGCAATCTTTCTTTCAACATTTGCATTATGTCACTATACCAGTCATTTGGAGTTAAACAGGAACTAAAGTTTTCATTCCTAATGCCTTATATCTAACAATCAAGTATTAGCTGAGAATGAATCCTAAGCCTCAACTATCCTCTACAACCTATAACCTACTCTTTCTTCCTCCTCTACTCGAGCAAAAACTAAAATGTCAACTCCTCCAAGATTCATTCTTTAGTTAGAAGAGCCATGGTAATTGTATTCTATAACTCATTTGTTTAAAACGAAGTCACCAACCAGTCCAAAGATGAGTGTTTTCACCTCCTAGCTCTGCATTATTTGTGAAAGTCAGCCACCTCAGGCATAGAACTGACATCACATTATAGTTTATTCAAAGCTGGATCACCAGTATTGTGGTAGAGGATGGAGCAGAGTGACACTATAAGGGAACAGTGAGAGTCTGAATGGTAGAAATGCAGTCTACATGTTCGGCCGAGGAACAGATCCTGCTTCAAGAACCAAGAAGTTATGCTCAGACATTAACCCTGACTGTCTCATTTTCAGGGTGGAGAACAGTTAGGAAAGAGAACAGGATTTTAATTTCAAAATCTAAGCTATATCACCAAAGACAATGGTGTGCGCTAAGCCTGAAGGATGAGGTAAAAATGAAAAGAAAAGAATTATCCTCAGCATTTCTAATAGCTAGGAAAGCCAGAAGCAGGACAGCTTCTGGTATGAAGAGGCAAAATGCTCAATCCACTTATATTCAATATTACACCATAAGTAGCACATATGTATAGGAGCTTCCCTTCTAGCTCAGGTCCAAAATACATTAGAAAATCTGATGCATTTAAGTGAACAGATAGGGTTAGAAAATATGCAACCTGAAACTCTCCCATCTCTTAAGAGGCTGAATGAGAAAGAAAACATAGCTCACCTCACTTAAGAAAACTAATTATTGCTAACAAAACCAGCAACAAATACACACAGCACATATCATATACTAGTGACCATTTTAAGCACTTTACATATATGAACTTTTTTAATCTTCACAGTTATACTATTATAATTCCCATTATAAATCACGATGTGAAGATACTAAATTATGTGCTCAGCTTGTAAGCGGAAGAGTCGAGATTCAAATCGTGTCTGGCTCCAGAGTCTGTATTCTTAGCTACTGCTCACACTGCTTCTCCTGTATTCCTTTTCTCCTTGTATTCTTGCCTCTGACTATCTCATGTCTCAATCCTCATCTCTGTGTTCCTCTTTTCTTTTTTTTTTTTTAATGTTTTATTTATTTCTAGGAGAGAGAGAGAGAGACGGCGTGAGCAGGGGAGGGTCAGAGAGAGAGGGAGTCACAGACTGAAACAGGCTCCAGGCTCCGAGCTGGCAGTCAGCACAGAGCCCGACGCGGGGCTCGAACCCACGAACTGCGGGATCACAACCTAAGCGAAAGTCAGACGCTTAACCGACTAAGCCACCCAGGCGCCCCTCTGTGTTCCTTTTTTCATCTCCCTCCTTCCCATTTTAAAATTTAAGCTAGGGTAAGGGGGGAGGGGGAGTTAACTACAAACAAGTATAATATAGTAAGTACTATAATAGAGGTAGGAATATAAAGTATTAGTGAAACACAAAGAAGAAATATTACCTGGAGGAAGTCACAAATGTTACAGAAAGAAGCTAACACTTGAGTAGGGTATGAAAGATTAATAAAACTCTACCAAACAGTGAAACAGCAGATGAAACAGCATGGTGAAAGACACAAAACAATGTGCATGGCACTCTATAAGCACAAGTGGGCAACAGTTGTCTGCTTTATTGGCCTCTGTGTTCTCAAAGCACCTGGCACAATGCCACATACCTGACATGATAAAAACATTTGTAAATGACTGAATGAATAAATGTGTGTTCAGGAAAGATCAAGAACATACCAGAAGAGCTCAGACTGGAGATAAAGGCAAGATCCAAAATGTCAAAGAGGCCTGAATACCATCGTGAAGATATTGCATTTGTAGAACTATATCGCTTAAAACAACTAGAAAACTGAAATATATGGTAGGGAGTGACTGGCAGCAAAACACGAGGAGTTTTTAAATGAGGAAGTAACCGTGATGACAGAGTTCCAGTTCTTGTTCAGGGAAAAGTGATAATAACCTAATCGATTAGATGTAGAAGATGAAGAGAAGTTGAGGATAATTCTAATGTTTCTACCTTGTGTGGATGAGTTAACAGTTATGCCACTAACCAAAATGAAAAAAATATAAAAGGAAAGGGATACAGTTTAGGGCATGGAAGCAGAAGAGCCTTGGAAAGAGAGAGATGGATAAGGAGTTCAGCTTTTGCCATGTTAACATTAGAAATGCCCGCAGGATATTTCAGTGTGGATCCCTCGTAAGGAAAGGGAAGTATGTGTATAGTGCTCTGGTGAAGGTTGAGTTACTTATAAAAGATTTGGGAGTTTTCGCCTTTTTGTTCATCCTATTCCAGGTGAAAGATTTCACTGGCTAAATACAAACCAAACTGGCATATGATGGGTGCTAGGCTTTATTAATGGTAAATTTTTATTTTATAAGCTTTTAGAAAAATATGTACTATGACTTTCCCCACTAGAAAAAAGAGAAAGATCCTATTGTAAATATACTACTGACACAACTCCTTTTATATTGCCTGACTAAATGTCCATTTTCTACTGAAAATATTTTATGTCCTTAAATTTTAAAAACAGTAATATGGCTGTAGACAAGAAAAAAAATTTCTAATAGAAATATTAAAAAGCTTCATCCTTATCTCAGGATTAAAATATTATTATTTCAAATGACATGATACTGTAAGTTGACCAGTAACAGTTCTAAGCGTAAAAACATTTGACAAATAATACTTGTACATAAAACTGCAACAGAAAATAAACTGAAATTGGGGCGCCCGGGTGGTTCAGCCAGTTAAGTGTCTGACTTCGGCTCAGGTCATGATCTCACAGCTGGTGGGTTCGAGCCCTGTGTCAGCCTCTGTGCTGACAGCTCAGAGCCGGTAGCCTGCTTCAGATTCTGTGTCTCCCACTCTCTCTGCCCCTCCCCCACTTGCACTCTGTCTCCCTCTCTCAAAAATAAATCAACATTAAAAAAAAGAAAACACACTGAAATTAAAGACATGAATTCTATACACCATCAAAAAAAACTAAACAAAATTATACTTAAGATTTCACTAATATAAAATATATTTTCATTCAGTGTAAGAATTTGTCCCTAAAATCTTATTTATATTGTCAATCTGTTTATAAAGCCATTCTGCATAAGAATTGCTAGGATTATGGTTAAATTATCTATACATAAACTTACTCTTTTCTAAAATTCTAGATTAGCTACTGCAAGCAAGTAAATGCTATTGCAAAATGCATACTACCTTTTAAGGAGGACATTCAAACTCTATTTAACAGCAAACAGAATTAGTTTAGGTTAATACTATACATTTGAAGAATTTAATTTGCTCAATCAAATTTAACTTGAGTTATTCAATAACTCAAAATTCACTAACACATTACTTTCCCATAATCCAAATTTGTGAAATTTACATGTGATGAACAATAAAATTAGTAACATCAAATATTTAAGAGTGTTTATTATTTGCTAAGGGCTGGGTATTTTTTAAATTTTTATTTAAATTCCAGTTAGTTAACATTACTTTCACGTGTACAATATAGTGATTCAACACTTCCATACAACACTCCGTGCTCGTCACAAGGGCACTCTTTAATCCTCATCGCCTATTTCAGCCACCCCTCCACCCCCTCCCCTCTGGTAACCATGGGTATATTGTCTACAGTTAAGAATCTGTTTCTTGGTTTGCCTCTCTTTTTTTCCCTTTGCTCCTTTTAAGCATTACATTTAAAAGTTAAGAACATTATCCAATTGATTCCTCACTATAACCCATTTTA